CACACACACACACACAGACACACACACACACACACAAACACACACGCACAGAGGGCCCCACACACACACACACACACACCTTCCTTGCCTGGTCATTGTCTTCCATCTGGCCCAGGTCGCGCCCACTGGCTTGGGCGATTCGCTTCCCCGACACCAGATTCCCAACCATCACGGAGGCTGGTCCAATCTCTGGGAGGACAGGAAATGACAAACGCTGAACTGGGGTCCCCACCATCACAGGAGTGAGTCTGCTATTCAGGTCATGCACACCGGCCGATATTACAAATGCAGAACACAGTCACGCACACTTAAGAAGCCTCACACTTGCACAATGTCTGACGGAATAAGCTGTTACCCTAATATTAAGCAAATGAACGTGACTGGACTGTCCTGAGACTGATCTGTCTGTATCCAAGGCAACAGAATAGACAGCCAAGTGAGCCACGAACAGGGTGGCTTTCATCTGATGTGGCGCTTTTGAAACAGCGGTCCATAAATAACGGCGCTCGGAGCATTTTGTAGAAGCCGATAGATACTGAGGCGGACGGCTGAATTTATAGGACTTCATTACATTCCACGCACGGCACAAGCTCAAAAGCACACAAACAGCCCTTTTAATTAGATCAACAAATCAATGCATCATTTAAAATACCTCTTTTCATTTGAGGGAAGCCATTTATCATCATGTCGCTCTCGCTACAACCCAAGCACTCCTACATACGCTGCGTGTTGCATTCGCTTGTCTGCGTGTTCAATAATCTCACACAGGGAACTGAATATGCCATAGATAACTGGGAGAAAAGGAAGAACGGGCAGTAAATGCCGGATGTGAAGTACATTAAAGTATATTAAAAATAATAAAAACCAGTACTTCCACATAGATGTGATTCCTGAGTTAATTCAGCAATCATGCTTCGAGTCACGTATAAGCAGTTCCCCATTATATAGTTCCTGTGAGTTCTACAGGGGAACAGGTCTGGCAGATGATTGGGTGACAATGACGGCAGACCTCGGTTTCACGAGGCAAAAATTATGGCTGGCATGGGGGCATGGAAGTCCGATAAAGAAGGTACCATCAGCTAGGAGCAACAGTACCTGCAGCACAAACACCGTCAGTAAAATGTCTGTGCACTGCTTCAAGATGAAAGGAAAAGCAGTAGCAAGTTGCTCCAAATCTGTGCTTCATCGGGAGTCGCCCACTGGGAGCTTCACCGAGGGGCAGGAGGCTTTGTTCGCACTCTATGACCCCCTTACTCCAAAATGTACTTTTGCAAGTACAGAGGACACGGGCAGTGGTCTACAGAGCGCTGTGAAAAGCCATATGGTCAGATGAGTCACCCGGCGCTGGCCAAGCGGACGGCTGCGTGTGCGGCTCCCACAGCAAGAGAAGCCTTCGGGCTCCAGGGCTGCTCTCCCACAGTGAAGGTGAAGGTGCAGGAGGCTCTGCTCTCCCACAGTGAAGGTGAAGGTGCAGGAGGCTCTGTTCTCCCACAGTGAAGGTGAAGGTGCAGGAGGCTCTGTTCTCCCACAGTGAAGGTGAAGGTGCAGG